AGCGGTCGCCAAGTCCCGGGCTTTCTGTCCTGACACCCTGCTGCTGGTCCTGAGGGAGGAGCCTTCTATCATAGGCGGATTCGCCGTCTCGAAATTTTTATCTTGCACACTTGGGGCTATTAGCTCCCGGGACCATGAAGAGGCCTTGTTTTTAAATATGACTTTAAGCTATTTGGGTCTCCAAAGTTCCGACAGTTAGCCTGTAACCGCCACGTTTTCTCATTAGCTCTTGTTTCAGTAGGGATCAGTCCTGAGTCGTCATCTCAACTAGCTAGGGTAATGCAGAGAAGAGTGGCATGTGGAGTTCTAGCCCTATTCTCTACCTGCTCTGCATGTCGTTTTTATCTGTGATGTTACGTTTCAATGTGTTTGGAAAAATCAATACTTCAAAAAATTGCAGTTATCTGCCATCTTTTGCGCCTCCGTATATTTTTGCTTATTGTGCAAGTTGGTTTGATAACTCAAATTGGAGATTGCCTATTCCTGCTGCAAATTTGCAGGCTGCTATTACAACTGATCAAAAGATAAGCGATTATACACTGTTCTGTTCTGCTCAGTTTCCTTGCTTGTAGGTCTTACTGGACTGTTCATTCAACAAATGTTTAATGAGCATCCAGTCTGTATCTGACATTGTGATAGGATTTGACACAGCATCTCTCAAGTAGCTTGCCAGTTTAATGAAAGACACAGACATTTAAAAACCACACAGACTAACCTATTGCTATGTAATTGTTAAGTGCCACAAAGAAAAACCCAGGAAGAGAGTTTAACAGGGTAATCTAATTTTCCCTTACTGGGGAACGGTAGGGATCATTGATGATATCTGAAAAGCTGACAGTTAAACTGAGATCAGGAGGATGAATAGGAGTTACTCTGTAAATAATGGCAGAAATAGTATTCCAAAAGCAAAGATGAGAAGGCAAAGAGGAGCAGAGAAACCGGATGGATGGGGCAGGCAGGGTGGAAATGGTGAGAGTGCTGACACATTGCAGGGATTGTAACCAATGCCATGGAACAATTTGTGTATGAATTGTTGAATGAGAATCTAATTTGCTGTGTAAACTTCCACCTAAAACACAATAAAATATTCAAAAAAAAAAACTACTATTCCAAACAGAGGTAACAAGCACCATGTGCGAAGATACTGAGTCAGGAAAGACTTTCCAGGGGCACTAAAGGAACTTAGTAGAACATAGACATTGTCTAAGGAAGAAAGGAGATGAGACTAAAGAAGTAGGCAGGTACCAAACCTTAGCTCAGAACAAAACCCACCAAACCCACTGCCCTCTAGTGGATTCCTACTCATGGGGAGCCCAAGTGTTGCAGAGTAGAACTGCTCTATAGGGTTTCCTAGGCTGTAATCCTTATGGGAGTAGAGTGCCAGGTTTTTTTCTCCCTCAGAGCTGCTGGGTGGGTTTGAACTGTCAACCTTAAGGTTAGTAAACCAAAAACCAAACCCATGGTCGTTGTGTTGATTCCAACTCATAGCAACCATGTGGGACAGAGTAGAACTACCTCATAGCATTTCCAAGGCTGTGGATTTTTACAGAAGCAGACTGCCACATCTTTCTCTGCAGAGCAGCTGGTGGGTTCAAACTGCTAACCTTTTGGTTAGCAGACGAGCATTTAACCACTGTGCCACCAGGACTCCTTTCGGGTTGGTAGAGGAGCGCAGATATAGAGACCGAACCTTTGCTTAGAAGTTGGATATTAATTTTTGCCCTGTATCTTATTGTAGTGTTTTAACTATAGAGTTATTATGTCTGTAATTATAAATACATAGAATTTCTCCTTGACTTCTGTGGCATTTTTACTCTGTGAATCAGCCTTTTTGTGTTTGCCTCTCCCTTTGTCTTCCCAATATTCTTTGGAATTCTTTGAGCTCTGATAATCATTTGTTGTATTGCTTGGCTTCTCTTTCCCTCAGCCCCAAAATTGTGGCTCTTCCTCAAAGTATCAGTCATTGACAGTATAATTCCCTATATAGAGGTCTTCTAGGAGCTCTGGCGGCACAGTGGTTAAGCACTCAGCTGCTAACCAAAGGGTCGGTGGTTCACACCCACCCAGCAGCACTGTAGAAGAAAGGCCTGGCAACCTGCACTTCCATAAAGATTACAGCCAAGAAAACCCCACGGTTCACTTCACGGGAGAAGGATGTGGCAGTCTGCTTCTGTACAGACTTGGAAACCCTGTGGGGCAGTTCTACTCTGTCCTGTAGACTCGCTGCTAGTCAGAATCAGCTTGACAGCAGTGGGGTTTTATACAGCTCTTCTAGGAGAGCTCATCTATTTCCATTACTTCCACTGTCTTCTGTAGATGACTCCTTAATCAACATGT